GCTTGATCCTGAAGAGGACATCCTTGAGATCTCTAGATGCAATTTCCTATCTCCCCTCAGCCAAAGAAACCTCAACCCGAGTTTTTCCCAAATTTGCTTTGCCCTCGTTTCATCCCCACTTTTTATTCCCTCCGATTATCAGTTAATGAAATACACGTCACTAATCCTTGTCACATCAGCATTTTATAACAGTTATTAAGGGCCACGTGATGGTCACGTGAGGGGTTTTGCCGGAAAATTTAACTCCGACCAAAATTTAGATCCAGGTGCCAACTTAAACCCATTTTAAATACCAAAACGTCATCGGAGATATTTTAAATACCAATGTGATAAAACATGTTTTTTTTTAAATGTCAATTTGGTAGTTTAGCCCATAATCAACTGATACATGTATTGCCTTAACTTTCTCACCACTAATGAATTGGTTATATTCTTGCGCATTAGCAGCTTGAGTCTGAGAAAAACCCTGTTCGGTCATTCTCTCAAATGTTATTAATAATGAAAAAGTTAAACCTGAAATAAAATGTTTATTAATACATGCAATCACACTGTAGGCCGCAAGGGTGGAGTTAAGTTTTTAGTCTCGACATGATGTTAATAGTAACTTGCTATTGTTTATTAATTCTTATAATTTGCGAATGTTGCAACTCATAGTTTGCCTCAAAGAAGTGAAGGAATCTGCTGGAATGAAAGTTTATTGATAATACCTACTCTTAACTAAATAAAATCTTGGCAATGCTACAGTGCATTTTGCATCTGCTCTATGTGAATATGTGTTTCATAAATAAGTACAAGATTGTCATGTATAATGTTAATTAGCATTCAAATTTAATCTCATATAGTTCCTTAACATGCATCTATCACATGCGATGCACGTGTTGCATACTAGTTTAAAAAAAACAGATATCACTATGTGAGTTCAGGTTTCTACCTATTAATTAAAAGACTCTTAATAGGATGCATGCGAGTATAAAATAAGAAGGAAAATGACTTAAGGACCCAAAATATGGGACCAATGGAGGGGACATGTGAGGTGTCCCCTCCCTATTACATAATGAGTTGGTCATGTTAACTCATTATGCAATAGGAAGGGGACACCTCACCTGTCCCTTTCTTTGGTCCCATATTTTGAGTCTTCCTAGCAGCACTCAAATAAGAAACACTAGAAGTCCTCACATTTTCAAATTCTTGCAGCGGGTCTTCAAGACAAGAACACCCCCCCACCCCACCCCACCCCACCCCACGGGTTGATTTGGGAAGGATCCTCTGTGTCTGATTGTGTAGGCTAGGCTCTTTCAAATTGAGCCCTATGTACTAATAATTGCATAACAGAATAGTACTAAAAACACTAACTTACCTTAATTGCAAAGTTCAACTTATGGGAATGTACGTACAATCAACTAGCTTTCATAAAATTTTAATCGATTTTTCTGACAGATACCCATGGGCATTAGAGGATGAGAGAGAGAGAGAGAGAGAAAAATAAATAGCAAGTGACTTCCTCTTGATTTACAGTAAGTTCTTTTCTTAAATCTCCTCTCTCTATCTCATCCTCTAATGAGTATTCTTGACACTCGTTAGAAAAGCCATTTTCTTATATTATAGGTTCTGTTCTATGATATTAAAAAAATACATGCAAAGTGGTTTACTCTTTTCCCTCACTTCTCGCCAAAATTTAAGAAAAGCAGGACATGAGTTATAGTGAGTTTTATATTTCATCGTGGTAGTACTAATTAAAAAAAATTTGATAGTTATCTTGAAAAATATTAATGTTATTGATCTTAGAAGACCATCTGTATCACTTCGTATTTCTTAATCTTATTAATAGAAAATTTAAAACCTTCTCAATTTTGATATCCAAATAGCTAAATTTAACAGTTTCTTTCTATTTTTTTAATGATCAAATTTAACACTTGGTTGAATGAAACTCCAAACAATCTAAAAAAAGCCCACAATTATTAAGAGCCCATTATAGAAATTATCCAAATTACACGCCAAAGCAATCTCCATATTTAAAAATTCCCAAAATAGCGCTGTCACGTGATGAGCGCTTTGAGAAGCGCGAAGCTCGTTTTGCCGCTAATTTTAATTTTTCTGACCAGAATGCCCCTTTTCTGATGCCAGCTTCTAGTCGCTAGGACCGTACGTCCTTTTAGTAATTTGCCGTTACGTAAAATAACAGTCATCTTTTAATTGTCAAAATTGACCCTGCGTGTCCCAAAGGAGGTCTTTTAAGTACTTTGAATTATTCTCGTAAGTGTTTTATCTTATTATAAAATTTAAAATATTTAGAAATTTAATCTCATCCTATCAAGTCATATCATGATCGCTCCAACATGAAATTACCATAATTAAATAAAGCAAATCTTAATAAACGAAAAACACATACTTCATATTTAATAATTTAAATGTTAATCAATCAAGAGAATTTAAAGTCGACTAAATTAAATACAAATTAATTGAAGTTGATAAAGCACAATAGCATATCAATGAAACATGTATGTGAATGGTAATAAAGACATAACCAGTTTACAGAGCGACTTGATTTTTAAAATTAATTTGTAGAAAACACCACGTAGTATCAAAAACTATCCTTCATAGCAGTCATACTATGGTAATAAAATTTTGTTTTACAGAATTAAAAATTAATAATGGCTCTTTGTTAACTTTACGCTAATATTCTTCTCTCTGGATTTAAGAGGTGAAATGTTACTTAAAATTCGAAGACCTCGCAATATTTGGAGTGGCACTACCGTAAATAAAACCAAACCAAAAGGTTGAAATTGCCAGCCGCTCACAAGAAGTTTTTCACACGGCTAGCCTCTAGACCCGAAACTAACTCCCATACTCCCGTCCACAAACACCGTGGCAGTCCTCCGTAAATAACGCAAAATCCAGTGGCAATCCTTTTACCGCTCTAACGGCCAGCAACAATATATAAACCCCCCCAGTCGCATGCATGCAACTCAGGCTCAAAGCGAGAGGGAGAAAATAAGAGAGAAAGAGCGGAGAAAATAAAATAAAACTTTCTCCCTCTTTTCTCTTGTGCCCTAGCTCTATTTTTTTTCCTAATAAAGGTAGATTTTAATGAGATTTTATGAATTGATTCGGTTTTAAGTTTTATTTTGTGGTTAATTTTGAGTTGTTTTTTTTTTGTGTTCGATATAGGGGATGGTGAACGCCGAAGCTATTCGTAGTGCCGTTGGAGTTCTTGGTGAGATTCTGTGATCTGAAGATTTTAAGCCTTTTTTTGGTTGAATTTTGGTGGAATTTCGTTGATTTTTGAGTTAATTTTCTGGAGAATGAGCGATAATGTCAAGATTTAGTGTTTTCTCCGAGCTCGGGAGGGGAACTTTTTTGGAGTTTTTTGATCGGTTGATTTCTTGATCGAGAATCTAGATTTAAAAGTTTGCCTAAAAAATTGGCGCCTATTTCAGAAAAGTTCAAAATTACTTGAGTTAGCTAGGATCAAATTACTTGATGTTTAGCGTTTTTTTTGTGTTTATTGTTTCAGATATTGAGCTCATTAATGAAAATTCAGTGGAATTTCCTTTCGTTTTCGAGTTATTTTATCGGAGAATAAACGATGATCTTAAAGATTTGGTGTCTTTTATGAGCTCTGAACGAATTTTTTTGGAGCTTTTTTGATCGTTTGATTTCTTGATCGAGAATCTTCGATCCAAATATTCACGTCAGTGACTAGCGCCTTTTTCAAAAAATTCAATTACTTGATCAATTTTTTCGAGATCCAGAGTCCGCTGATAAAAACAGGGAGCTCCGAATGTTTTCTCTGTTTCCAATTTATTTTTCTCTAATTTCTTTGATCCAATGATTTCCTGCTATTATCTCATTTCTGACCTATAATCTCATTTGTTGTTTCTAGAATCTTTCGTACTTTTTTCCAACAAGTTTAAAATTTCAAAATCCGTTATAGGTTTCACACTTTTTTTTCACGTGTCAACTAACCAATCGTAATTTCTTCCTTTAATTTCCATTTTTTCAATTTTTTTAATTCATTAAAATTTTCTTTGCCAGGAAATATCATCTCCTTCGGCCTTTTTCTGGCCCCTCTGTAAGCTAGCTCCCTCTCACTCTATGTCTCTGTTTTCCTTTTTTGGGTCTAACTTATTTAGACTGAAATCTGAAATGAAATTTGCCCTTAATTAGGCCCACATTTGTGGACATATTGAAGAAGAAGTCGGTGGAGAAGTACTCGCCGGTGCCGTACCTAGCAACATTCATGAACTGCTTGCTTTGGTGCCTCTACGGTCTCCCGATCGTCCACCCTGACTCCCTCCTCGTCATCACCATCAACGGCTCCGGTCTCGTCCTCCAGGGCACCTACATCCTCATCTTCCTCATCTTCGCCAACGATGCCAAACAACGAGTAATCACACTGCCCAACTATTTTATTAGTACTTACGTTTCCTGAATTTTGGATGATATCATTTAGTTAGGTTGAGATACAGCGTGAATTATCCTAATTTTCCTAAAAAATTAAATTTCTAGAAAATCTTGCAAAAAGCTACCAGATCGTGATACTCATATGTCCTTGTTAGAAATACACGAGCCTACATCATAATACATGAAGTGTACATGCAGGTGACCTTTTAAAATTAGGGCTTTTTGCGGATAGACCCCCTTATACTATAGCCCAATGGGTGCGGATACACCCCTGAGATCTATTCGCACTTGGGCAATAGTACTGCTAGGAGTCCCTTTTAGGCGCAATAGTATTGGGAATCTAGTCTATCCGTAATGGGGGCAATATTACAGGGGATTTATCTGTAATTAAACCTTAGCACTATTTCAAAGAGTATAATTGAATGATTTTATCAATGATATGTCTTTTCCCTCAAATTGTTGGGGTTTATTTCAGTCAAAGATCGTGGGGATCCTTTTGGCCGAGCTTGCATTTATTGCCGTAGTTGCTGGGCTGGTGTTGTCCCTCACTCATACCCACGAGAAGCGGTCTATGATCGTTGGCATCCTCTGCATTATCTTCGGTGTCTGCATGTACGCCTCTCCTCTAGCTGTCTTGGTAAGTTCTGCATTTCCACGATGATTACGATATTAAAATGTGGCCTATCTACCGTACTCCACTTACCTTAAAACAGAATTTGAATTCATAGAATTTTATATAAAACAGGAACTATTGTGATTTGTTATCTATCCTATCGTCACCCTGATACAATCCTCTACTTCAATTTGAGCATTAACAAGTTAGTTAGTAGTAGATCATAAGTATTCATCGATTCCGCGCTAAATGTACGTCTTGAATGTAAAAAGTACTTTATCTAACTGTCTAATTGCTGAGATCGGAATCGGAATCCGTAAATTTTTATATAAAATAGGCGCTTCCGTAATCTGAGACACAAGATGTTATAATTTTGGTCAACCATTAAGTAATTATTTTACAGCTTTACACTAGCTAATTATATATCAAATTGGCGCTAGCTGTTTGGATTTTTCTCTACTAGCTTGTTACAGGTTTTGATGCTTGCTTGCACTAGCTAGGTTCTAGCTTGTTTCAAGTGTCACTCTTGAACCCTAATAATGCTCTTTATCTAATTAATTACAGTGGGCAGAACAAGGCTTTGCTTCTAAAAACCTATCCTCTTGATCAATATTGCAGTCTATAGCCCCTCCTTTTTCTTTTGTAGTACTTGCTGTAGAATAGATAGTATTTGTGTAGATATTAGCATTTCTCAATCCCATAAAACGCCAACAAAATTCTAAAAAAACTAACTAAATTGCGGGGGGTTAATTTTGTGTATGTGCAGAAGGTAGTGGTATCGACAAAGAGCGTGGAGTACTTGCCCTTCATGCCATCATTCACCAGCTTCATCAACGGCGTGTGCTGGACGTCCTACGCCTTGATCAAATTCGACCTCTACATGGTCATCCCCAACGGCCTTGGTACTTTCCTCGGGGTCATCCAGCTCCTCATCTACGGCATCTACTTCAAGTCCACCAAACAAGAACTGATCTGCTCAGTTCAGTTGGATAGCTAGTACTTTTTAGTACTATCTTCTCCAAGCTGATCGATCCCTTTCTGTCTTGTGCTGTGTGTTGTTGTGGTGTCTGTGAAATATATGCAATGTGTGATCTGCTGACTAGCTACTACGCACGTACTATGCACGCACTGCCTCTGAATCATGTGTTGTTTTTAATTTGTTCTCTGGGTATATAAATGGGAAAATTTGCAAAATAGACCGTTTTTATAAAGTAATTAGCGAAATAGACCGCTTTTGAGAGTAATTAGCAAAATAGACCTCTTTTTGACAAAAGAGGTCGATTTTGAAAAAATGACTTCAGAAAACATACGGGACTACTAGTCCCGTATATTTAAAGCTAACTAATCTAATGATTAGTGTACTAATCATTAGATTAGTTAGCTTTAAACATACGGGACTAGTAGCCCCGTATGTTTTCTGAAGCCATTTTTTCAAAATCAACCTCTTTTTTGTCTATTGGCCAAAAAGATGTCTATTTTGCTAATTACTTTTAAAAGTGGTCTATTTCGCTAATTACTTTATAAAAACGGTCTATTTTGCAAATTTTCCCTATATAAATATATAACCCACATTGTAGCCATCGTGTACACAGTACATTTACAGTAACATTCTAACTCTCCCGTGAGTAACAAGTTCTTCCCCCCCTTTAAATGTAAGTCCAGTAATCATGGACAGAATCAAACCGCCCTTTTTCTTAAAAGATTTTGTGCCATCGTGTACACAGTACATTTACAGTAACATTCTAACTCTCCCGTGAGTAACAAGTTCTTCCCCCCCTTTAAATGTAAGTCCAGTAATCATGGACAGAATCAAACCGCCTTTTTAAAAATAAAGTGTTGCACCCAAGTAACTTTAGGGTTGCCTACATACCAAGAGATGTTATAACTAACCTCAAGGATCAAACACAATGTAGTTCTCCTTAGCTACCCACCCTGGCCAAAGGCCTACAAATCACACCCTAACACTCTCATTCCCAAAACAAGATCAATGAACCAATAGAAGTATCACTTTATGAAGCCTCTTCTTGCATTTTTAGATGCAAAATCATTAATTAAACTTGTATAATCAAGTTTCTCCACTACATTTTTCTCAATTGACAGTAAAGCTAAGCCGTTCAATCTTTCTTGTGACATAGTTGATCGAAGATAAGATTTGATCAACTTTAACTTTGAAAAGCTTCTTTCTGCAGAGGCAACAGTAACAGGTATGGTCAACAATATTCTGTAAGCAATCCAAGCATTCGGAAAAGTACCATCCAATTTCTTCAAATAATTCAGCACGTCAATTGCTTTTTTTGTTTCTTTTGGTAAGTATTCTCTCAAAAGTTTCAACTCTAAAAATAAATCTTCGCCATCAATATCAAAATGACTGTCATGCTTTAAAGATTCTTCAAGTTTCGCACAATAAGCCTTCAAACTAGCATCATCAACAATGCTGAATTTCTTCAAATCAAATAAAAACCCAAAGACTTCTTCATAATGCCGAAATTGTTCAAACCTACTCTTAAGAGAAGAAATAGCTTGATCCACTATATATAGAAAGTATTTAACTCTAAATGATTCTTCAGGAGATAATATTGTCTCTTCGGTAGCACATTCATCAAATTTCCTCTTCTTGCGAATGATACGCTTTTCACGAAATACAGCTTCAATTTCCATTTCAGATGCAACCTTTTTAGCTTCAGTAATGGCCTCCTTAAATCCATTTTCTCTGTACTTTTCAAAAAATAATATAAGCCCATTCAATTGATCTATAGCAATATCAATTTGCATGTCTTCCTTTTGCAAAAATTTGCTAACAGAATTAACAGCAAATAATAAATTGTGCCAAACAATCATACCCAATAAGAACTCAAAATTCTCCATTTCATTTGTTGCTAAGGACTCAGCTTCACTCTTTATTTTTGGATCTCCATCGATACTTGCCAAGTGAATTAAAGCATCTCTTATTTCTGTAGCTTGAAATCTTACTGCTCTTACACTTTCAACATGACTTTCCCACCGTGTTTGTGACAATGGCTTAAGTGTGAGACCAGAAACATGTTCTTTGAAAATATCCCACCGCTTAGTAGAAGATGAAAACAAAGTATATAAACGTTGTATCACTCCAAAAAAAGATATAGCTTTCGGACAAGAGTTTGCCATATCACAAAGTGCGAGGTTAAGACTATGACAACCACATGGAGTATAGAATGCTCTAGGATTTACTTCGAGGAGTCTTTTCTGCACACCTTTATTTTTTCCTTTCATATTAGATCCATTGTCATACCCTTGTCCTCTTACATTAGAAATGTCAAGTTCCAGAATCTTCAATACATCTTCAAGTTCACTAAAAAGTCCCAGTCCTGACGTGTCGTCGGCCTTAAGAAATTCTAGAAAGAACTCTTCTACCTTTACTGGACTTTCTGAAACATCCACACATCTTATTATAAGAGTCATTTGTTCTTCATGGCTTATATCTGGAGTACAATCTAGTATAACAGCAAAATATTTTGCTTCTTTAATTATTTTGATCATTGTATGTTTAATCTCTCCCGCTAACATTCCTATCAGTTCATTTTGAATTTTATGACTGAGATAATGCTTATGAGATTCACCACTTTGATAACGTCGAATATGCTCTTTCATTACCGGATCAAATTCGGCAATCATTTCAATTAAACTTAAAAAATTTCCATTGTTCTCTTGATAAATCTTCTCATTATCCCCACGAAATGCTAAACCATTTTTAGCAAGTGTTTTTACAACAGCAACTATTCTTAATAATACTTGTCTCCAATGTTCTCTCTCTTTGTTTAATATTTCTTGCACACTTTTATCAATTGTTTCAATACTACGCAATCTCATTTCCAATTCAATCCAACTTCTCATGCAACTTATGTGCTCACTACTCCCTTCATGACTTTGAAGTCTATGACTAAGATTCTTCCAATTTTTAAATCCTTCATTAACCAAAGAACCCATTTGATTCTTGTTTCCATCTTTTCTAAATAATTTGCAACAAAAGCAAAATACCACATTCAAAGAAGTTGAATATATTAGCCATCTCCTATCATGTTTCTCTCCATTTAACCATTGTCGAGTGTAATGAGTGGAAGAGAAATGTCTGCCTTCAATATCTTTAGGAAAATCAATAACAACTCTTTTGGGTCCTCTTTCTACTAAAAGATCTCTCAATTTTTGATCAATATTACCCCAATTTGCTGGATCGTCAACATTCATGTTTTCATTGACACTCTCAATCCTAAGTTGAGTAGGTTCCTCAATGTTTCTATCATCTTCTGCAGGTTCTTCAATATTCATATTGTGTTCAGTAGGTTCTTCAATATTCATATCATTTTTCTGTTCTTCATTTTGATTTTCTTCATTATTATGTTCTTCGTTATCATGCTCTGTATGTCTACTACTAAAAAACTTATCTAGCGCTCCTGCTTGAGACTTTTCCAATTTTTCCAATTTTTGTTTCTTTTTTCTTTTTTCATATCCAGAACTATACTTTCTAGGAAGCATGATGAACGCTGAAAAAATATGATCAATCAACAATGCAAATTTCAGATCAACAAAAAATTATATACAAATACTAAAATACATAAGATCAACAAAAATTATAATTTATGAAGTTATAAAATTACCTTGAAATTTGAATAGCTTCACTTCAAACAAATTTCAGATCAACACGCTTGAATCCTAAAAGATGCACTTTTATCTCTTGTTCCTATTCAATAGACAAAAACAAAGTTTGGACTTAAGATTTTTTTTGGGACACGAATACGATGCAATCATTTGATCATATTGGGTCATGAAACAAGCTCTGAAATAAATCATATAATTGAATGGTAACATGCATCAACTAGTTTTTGGCCATGGTAACAAGCTCTGAAATAAATCAAATTTGATGTTAATATATCAAAACTGGACATAGGATTATAGGAATCTCCATTTAGGTTAATTAACTTACTTTTATCCGTCTTTAAAAGTCTATGAAGCTATTGCTAAAGGACAAAAAAAAAAGTTGTAGGATGCTGTAGTAGGACATTAGTCAATTATAGCCTACAAAGCTACTTAGCTAGTAGCTACACAATTACATAGTTTACTGTTTACACTTTACATTAGTCAATTACAGCCGAACATGCCAGGTTTAAGCGAAAAAGCATCTCGCACCTTAATTCGGCGGAGGAGGCGTCAGGCGTAGACGGCAAACAGACTCGGCGAGGTCGCGTTTTCCGGTGGGAGGGGCGGAGGGAGTCGCCGGAGGCGGCGCCGTGGAGTTCGACACTTCGACGAATCGACGGTGGAGCCGTGGAGGAGCGGACGGAGTCGGGAATAACTGAAGAAGATGAGAGGTCAGAGAGAGACCTAGGTTTTGTCACTTTTGTGTATTTATAGGAATTGGAATTATGCTATTAGAACCCTCTAACAATTTTGCACAAAAATCCTCTTACTTTTTCATATCTATAAAAGGTATAGAAGTATTATATTGGGGCCCCTATTTTTTGAGGCCCTAGGCGAAGGCCTCTCCCGCCTACCCCTAGGGCCGGCTCTGCTTATGCTCATGTGCATGTCCAAAAGTGTACAGAAAGTGAGAACCATTTTATTTTAACATGTTTGGCATTGTATACTTACTAGTTAACTTGATTTATGTAAAGGTAAAAATTAATTAAACTCGTCACTCTTTTCTTTTATTTAATATCTAAACTCTAAAGTAGTAAACTAGCTATTAAAGTCTTTACATTAAACCCACGGGATCGAATTTCTAAAAATGCAATAAACCGCCTATAACTGTTGAAATTGCAGAAAACTTCCCAATAGGTTTTCGCATTTTCCAGATAACTGTAATGACGGCGTCAGACCATTAAGGATCTAAATGTGTTTGCACATGCAAAATGTGGACTGATGCCATCGTGGGAGTTATCTGCAAATATTAGCGGAGAAAAACTCTTTTGGGGATTTTGCAGCAATTTCGATAGTTATTGGGGGTTTGGTGCAATTTTCAAAGTTTTTTTTGGGGATTTACTATAAAATATACTGAAAGTTCTTTTTTTTTGGCGTGGGTTGGCGGGGTTGGGGAGGGGGCTTAGTGTAATTTACCCTCATTTTATCTTAATCATCTAGACGAATCCAAAGAGGGAATGAAGCATATTTCACTCATCCCCTTGAATTTCACTGAGAATGTCTGCTTTCAAATTTAACATGGAGATAATTAATTTCTCATTAACCTACTACAAGATACGGAGCAAATAATGAATTATCTTTAATCCACTTTTGCACCTGCCGCGTGAAGTCTATATAAAATTTAAAACTACCCAGTTCTTGAATTTTTACTTCTACCTAATACTTTCTTATTCGTATGTAGAAAATTATTACCTTAATTAGCTGCAATAAAACAGATAAAAATGGAGGTGTTTTTTGGATAAAATTTTTGAATTCGGGTATTAAAGTAAAGGACTTGGAAAAATCCCGAAAGAAAGACAAGGGGTATGAATAAATATTATTCCAAGTTTTTATTCTACTATACTTAGTAGGTTGGGCCATATTTCTTTGGGTTAATTACGAATAGACTCTCTGTAGCTCTATTTGTGGTGAATAGATCCTCATTTGTTTTGATAGGCATATCTATTATATCCTAAGGGCCTGTTTGGATTTGTAGGGGGTGAAGGGAAGTTAAGGGAAACTGAGAGAAGGGAAGGGAAGAGAAGGGAAGGGAGTTCCCTTCCCCTTGGTTACACCCCAATTTGGGGGGTAACAAATTTTATACTATTAGGGGGTGAACCAAGGGGAACTAGGGTGAATTAACTTCACCTCCTAAGTGTTCCCAAACAAGGTGAATGGAGGTGAATGGTTCCCCTAACTTTCCTTCACCCTCATTCCACTCAATCCAAACAAGCCCTAAGGTTTTAAACTTTACACGTAAATACTCTCAGTTATGCAGATTTGAGAATATTTAAGTATAAGTTTTAAAAATTTTAGGATATTTGATTAACCATAAGTTTTAAAAATTTTAAAATACATAAGTGCTGTCATGCATAAACAGGTGAGGGTATAAGTAAAATTTTTAAAAATGTCAAGGGTATATGAGTGCTGCAAAAAACAAAGAGTATGTAGGTGCAACGTAGTAGAAAGTTTAGAGTATTTAATTGCGATTAAACCGTGGCAACAATGGTCCACCAATTCATTGCCAACGCTTAGTGGCACTACCTGTAAATAATTCCATGTCCAGTGGTAATCGTATACAGGCTTAACGAGCACTCCCGCCCTTCATAAACCCCGAAAACCACGCAAATCAACTCGAGCTCAGGAGACAGAAAAAGAAAAAAAAATTAAATAATAAAATCTCTCTCCTTTTCTTAATAAAGGTAAATTTCGATCTCAATCAGCGCAATTAGTTCGAATTTTAGCTTATTTTTACCGTTAATTTCAGTATTTTCGTCGGATTTAGTTGAGCTCTTTTGATCGGTTGGAGAAGATGGCGATCTACGGAGCGATCCGTACTATCGTCGGTCTAGTAGGTGAGTTTCTCGATGGATTGGTCTAGATCCGAGAGCGATCTGGTAATTTCTAGGATTTTTTTCCATTTTTGGAAAATTCCGGGAAAATCTCTTATTTTGAGATGTCAGTGAGGAGTTATGCTGATTTTTTTTGTCTGTTGAATTATCTGAATTACTTTGAAAATATCTAGGTTTTTTGGGCTTCTTTTGAGAATTTCGCGCCAATTATCTGAGATCTGAGTAGCGATCTCAAGTTACGAGCTTTTTCCCCTCGAAAAATTAGTTGAAAAATAGTTGTTTTCTTAAAAGAGATAGGATATCTCATCAATCTCAAGTTTAGTTGTGAGTTCAACGACGAAAATTTTGGTCTAATTCCTTTTAAGGACGAGAGACTGGCTTTTTCAGATCTAAGGATTTCAAAAAAAAAAAAAAAAAATAGCTCATTAGTCTTCATTTTGTTTGAGGCGGTTGTTATTAAGGTAATGATCGCAAACTTCTACTTTAGTTTCCTGTTTTAGAAATATTTCCTTGGTGAATATTTTGAGTTTCGGAGCTGTTAGTTTCTTCATCGAGAAAGCTACAATAAAAATATCTCACTTGGCGCCTTTTTCTTCAAAACTTTTTATCGAGATTCTCTCTTGTTTTAAAACTTTGAAAATTATTTCATATAATTTCCTATTTGCTGGACTTCGGGTTTTTGTTAATTAATTAATTATTTATTTATTTTGGTGTGATTTTGGTTTAGGACAAGGAGTTAGCTACTTTTTAAATTTTTCTTTTAATTTAAGTTCATTCTTCTAGAAGAATAACAGACATTCATTTTTTTTAAAACTTTCAGTGTAATCTCAAGAATCTTTACTTGTTTTGGTAAAAAGTTTGAATTTTTAGCGATAATCCGTTCGAGATTTCATATTCTTGCAGTTCCTCGTTTCTCGGTAATACTTCTCTATAAAGATTCTAAAAACTTTATATAATTTCTATCCATTAATTAACTAAATTTATCTTCATTGTGACAGGGAGTTTCTTCTCGTTGGCTCTTTTTCTGGCCCCTGCGTACTCTCTCTCCCTCTGTTTTTCGCTCCATTTTATTCAAAATGAAAGGATTTTCTTATATTTGACCCTAAATTTTAATTTTATTCTAACACCCCAAATTGATCAAGTTGGTAAGCACTAAGTAGCACACCCATATTTGTAGTTTACAACTTCAAATCCATTTAAGTTGTTTTAAGGGTTAATTACACATAACCCCCCGTTGTATTTTGTCATTTAAAATATAAAATTTGGGTTTTTTTCCCCTCTCAAGAAAAATTTATTCATTTGCAAATTACATACAGGGTAGCCGGTAAGAAAAGTTAAAAGTGTAGGGGGTTTTGTAAGTCACTTCAGAAGAGTTATGTGAGATAAAAAAAGTTTGGGGTTTTGTGAAATTAACCCCTGTTTTAAACACCACCGCCAAGTAACAACTCAAATGGATTTAGAGGTTTAGATGCAGATATGAGAACGTGGGGCCCAACATCAAATAAAAATAGTTTAGGGTCCAATGAGGAAACCCCAAACCGGAATTGGACTTTGACCGAAGAGTGTACTTTATATAGTCCCACAATTCTGGATATCGTGGCGAATCGCGCGGTGGAGGACTACTCGCCGTGGCCGTACTTCGCCACGTTCATAAATTGCCTTCTCTGGTTCTTCTACCGCCTCCCCTTCGTCCACCCCGGCTCCTTCCTCGTCCTCCCCGTCAACATGTTCGGCGTCCTGCTCCAGTTGATCTACATCGTCGTCTTCATCCTCTGCGCCAACAACCCCAACCAGCGAGTACGTACGCATGCATGCTTCCTATGATTTCCCTGCGCATTTCAAATTTCTTGAATTTTTTTTTTCTTAGTTCTATCAAAAAGTATCATAGAAACTAATATGTTTAACCACAATAGTATGCTATTTAGCATTCCAAATCATAAAACTAATTACAGCCGTACGTCCACTAAATAATAAGTTAGTGATTTCTCCACTAAATTAATTTTCTAAATATAATGGAGAACAAGTAAAGCTCCCCTAAACTTAAATGCACAGAAACTCCTCTATAGTCTGTTTTGAAACAAGTACTCAAAATTTTATATTATAAAAGAAGTTCCAAACTCATTGATTGCACTAAATTAGTTCATTTAGTTTCAATTTGTAAGTTTAATTAACTGTGAAATAAAAAGCAACAATGTTTCGTTTTTCTTTTCTTTTTTTTAATAATACCAGGCAACAGCTAGCCAACGATCTCTCTATAAATCCATTAAACTTTGCACAGTGGACATTTGTAATTAAGAGCATCTCACATAGAGTGGGTTTTAATGGGCTGGGAATTGAGGAATGGTCTTCATGATCGCGAGAAATGAAGAGGGATTTGAAGACATAGGTATATCTACTCCTCTATACAAATAGGAGAACCCAAGATTTACTATTCATGATACAGTAAATACTACAGTAGTATTATCACTGTAGCAAGCATGAAACTGGACAACGCTTTTTTTTTATTTTAAAATATTACTTAACCCACGTGAATACTGTAGCAGAGATGTGATACTGTGGTAATTTTAAAAAAAGTTGAAATACTGTAGCAGTTAAACCGGGAATACTGTAGCAAAAGGTACGTGAGCACGGTGTTCACACTAGTATAACGGAATAACAAAAGAACTAACTATGTTTACTTAATTTTGCGGTTAAACTAACAGATTTCAACTAAAGAGACTAATTTGCAGCAGCCATTAAGTTCCTGAGGGACTCATTGCCCTTCGCTATATCAAATTTCGGGGGACTTATTCAAATAAATGAGATTTGGTGGACCAATTCTTTAGAGGAAGGAGGACCAATAGCTTAACACCCATTATATTTAGTGGGCACGACATAAACCTGTCAAACTCTGGGTGTTTATGCAAAGAAAAAAAAGAATTTCCTACTGCGTTCCCCCCTACAATGCTACATACGATAGTCAGTTTTAGTCGCCAAGTGCTTTGCGCGTGATATATTTTTGACAATTTTGTCTTTATACTTGCCGCTTTTTTAAACTTCACGTTAATGCCGTTTATGAAAATGTAAAATAACACCTCATGAAAGTTTTTGAATTACATAAATTTTTTTCGTGGCTAATTTATTAATTTAGCTGGTTTTTCACTAAACGCTCTAAATTTTAGAGGGTATTGTAAAAATTTAGCCTTGTTTAATTTCAGCGGACACTTATCGCAATCTTCATCCTGGAGCTGATGTTCTTTGTGCTGGTGGTCGTGCTTGTGCTTTCCTGCGTCCGTTCCCAAGAGACAAGGTCCACCATCGTTGGTATCCTCTGCATCATTTTCGGTATTCTCATGTACGCCTCTCCTCTCAGTGCGCTGGTAAGTATTTTCTTTCCCCCCTTTTCCTCTCCAAATGTAATAACGTATTTAAATTAGGGTCAATTGCGAATAGATCTCCTTAGTATCACCCAACTGCAAATAGAACTTCTATAGTTCTATTTGTGAGAGTAGACCTCCTAAGTAGTTTTCTTTAACTATTAAAATTATTAAAAATGTTTTGAGGACGCGGATAGGATAGAACTTCTAGTTCTATTGGTGAAGATATGCTCCTAATTGCTGAATTTTTTACTTTTAAAATAATCTAAAAATTCATTCACAAAGGGGATATATTCGCACAAGTGCCAGTACTACAAAAGGTCTATTCGCACAAAAAGAACTACATGGTCTATTCGCAATGGGATGATACTGACATAGGGTCTTTTTGCAATTAATCATTTATATTTCTCAGGAAATGTTTCTTGTACTGCTGTTTGAGTATTATAGGGATGAATCACAAAACTTAAAAAAGTTCTTTCCTTAGGACTTTTTCATATGAAAGATTTGAATAATTTGGTCTGAAAAATAGGCTAAATGCAAGTGCAAATGTGGACTAAAAGGTGACAAATAAGGAACTGTTATGTGAGGTCCGCCCTTGCATGAAAGTTCTTAATGTTCAACGTTTAAGCAATCCTTATTAGTCAGATAATTTGTGCATGATTATCATGGTTTCTTTCATTGTGTATTTTACTATAAAGTAAGGTATAAATTTAGTTACGAAAAATGTCAAAACCAGAGCCCATCCAGTTGACAAAGAACAGGCCAGACCCGTGGAACAAAACAGTATATATTATTAATCTTGCAAGATTTTGTTAATTTTATAGTATCAAATGTCCAAAAATATTGGGTGGGATCTCTAGCGAAGGACTCCAATAACAAGTGATCGAGGAAATTTATCTATCGGGCGTTGCAGATATCTGTGACCCGGACCGAGAACTTGAGCTACATGCCATTAATGCCGTCTTTGACGAACTTAGCCAACGGCATTTGCTGGACGATCTACTACTCTATCAAGTTCAGCCTCTACATGGTGATCCCCAGCGCCATCGGCATTGTCATCAGCGTCTTCGAACTCATCATCTATGCCAGAATCTACTTCAAAGTCCGGTACCCCAAGCCTCAACCTGAGACCGAGCAAGAACGATGAGCGAGAGATTGCATTGGATTTGTGCTGATGGAGCTTTACTTTGATTTTTCACTTAGGAACACGAAACAGAGGAAACCTGATTACTTTGATAAGAGCACTGAATTTGGTGGAAACTTCGGCTCTATATCGTCTCAATTTTCACTGTCAATTAGCGTTACAAACCACTTCCCTGTAATTTTGATCAGCAACTCATATTTCATGTCACCTTCACAGATCGCACAACATATCAATTAGAAAACATAATCTACCAAATGATTTGAGGAAAGTACTGGATTTCTTCCTCCTTTAATATATAACTAGTAGTCTAGCACTATCCAGTCCACAAATTTGAAATCATGCATGCTCATATAGTTAACAAAACTTGCTGCTTTCTCTCCTGCTACAGCATTTCATGGTAAAGAATATCTAGAACACGAAAAGTAGTCCCCAAGACTATCTTCTGCTGTTGGCAGTCTTGGTCTTGTTCCTGAGGTTTGCTAGCTCATCTACCAACTTCCTCTCCTCCTTGCTCAGCCTCTTGGGTATCTCCACCTGAACCCTCACCAGCTGATCTCCCCTCATGTTAGGCTTCCCCAGATATGGCACCCCTTTCTTCGCCATCACCAGTGTCGTGCTCGGCTGCGTCCCCGCCGGAATCTTCAGCTCCACCTCCCCATCCACTGTCGGCACCTTCATCGTCGTCCCCAGTATCGCGTCGATATACGAAACCTTAGTCGTGTAGAGAATGTTTGTTCCGTCCCTCTTCAGCACGGGATCCGAGAGGACGTCGATGAACACGTACAAATCTCCAGGCGGGCCGCCTTTCCTCCCGGCATTCCCCTCCGACCTAACCCTAAGCCTGCTTCCGGAATCGACTCCTGCCGGGACCTTCAAACTGATCCTCTTCGTCTTTCTAACTCGCCCATCGCCTCCGCAAGTGTTACAAGGAGTCGATGACTCTCCGGTCCCACTGCAGGTCGAGCAGGTCGTGACCTGCTGAAATATGCCTAAGGGGGTTCTCGTCGAGGAGACAACCTGGCCTTGGCCACCGCAGGCCGTGCATTTGGTCGGCTTGGTGCCAGGTTTGGCACCGGAGCCATCGCATGTGTTGCAGGTCTCCAGGCGGGTGACCTCGATCTCTTTCTCAACACCAAAGACTGCTTCTTTGAAGTTAAGGATGAGGCTATAGCTCTCGTCCTCACCTTGCATGGGACGATTGCGAGCTGCTCTGCCTCCTCCCATCCCGCCCATACCACCCATGCCTTCAAATAATGACTCAAAGATGTCGAACGGGTTGCTAAAGTCCTGAAATCGAGATATTTTACGATGTTAGGCAGAAGGAAGACATATAATAGAAGAAAAGAAGGATAAATTTCACAGAACTAAGCATAAAGCTACCATAGACCTTTTTTAGAAGAGAAGGGGGAAAAAACATGACATGATTGTTGGCAGTTGTTGATAATGATGCTAACGCTTGGACAATGAGAGATGGATGAAGGTAACGTAGAGCATATATAAATTACAAAAGTGCAAAATTGTCCGTAGCGTCTCATGTGGGAAGCACGAGACATATAAGTTTAAAGAAAACAGTTCAAGGTGGTCTTCTCTAATAAGAGAGTTTATGGCAGTTTTATTAAAAAAACCTGAGGTTTTCATAGTAGTTTTGTGAAATGTACCTAAAAAAATATTGAGCATCTATACGATCTTCAAGGAGAACTTACCCCCATTCCCATACCGGAGCCCTTGAGGCCAGCTTCTCCATATTTATCATACAGAGATCGTTTCTCATCATCGGATAATACCTCATAAGCATTGCTGATGTCCTTGAACTTCTGTTCTGCTCCAGGTTCTCTAAGACGAGGAAACAAAACCAACAATGAGAGCTAGCTAACATAATTCTAAAAACATGATATATCAACAATTAGATTGAAAGAAAAAAAATGCTTATATCAATCATAATCAAAGAACATGCTTACAGAAACAAATATGGAATTATACCAAAGTGAACTAGCCAGCGCCAATTCTTTCCACTGGAAGATGAAGCCAAAGGACATGAAGTGAATGAATGGCCAGTAGGGCATTTTTTATTATGAAGTAATGAATGGCCAGTAGAACATTTTCCTTCTCAAAGTGCTAGTCCTATGCATTAACAGTGGTATATTTCTTTTGGTCCAAATTATACGTACACTCACCATGCAACTCATTCAATAAATTTTACAAATATTTTTCATTTTCTCAGAGTCAAATAAAGGGTAAATTACACTTAAATGCCCTATTGTTTACCCAATGTTGCACATAAATACCCTCAGTTGTAAATGGCTGCATAAAATACCCTAAAGTTTCTAAATGTTGCACTTTAGTACCCCTCGGTTATGCAAACGTTAGAATTTCCCTCCAAAAATTCTCATGCAACACCCAGTGCTATTTTTAGAACATTTGGACACTTTTTTTTTGTTAAATTTATTGTTAAACCTATCAAAATCCTATTTTAAAAAAGAACTAGGTTAGATTTGAAAACAGGATTTTGTTAGGTTTTACAATAGATTTAACAAAAAATAAGGGTTGAAATGCTCTAAAAGTAGCATGAAGTGTCGCATGAGAATTTTCGTGGCAAAATTCTCATACTTGCATAGCGGAGGATACTAAAGTGCAACTTTCAGAAACTTTAGGATATTTAAGTGCAATCATTTACAACTAAGGGTATTTATATGCAACATTGGGTAAACAATAGAGTATTTAAGTGCAATTATCCTTAAATATACAAACAACAAATGAAATGTATTTCTTTCCCCCAGACTGACCTTTCCCCAAAAAGGAAAACATACTAAAGTAAAGAAAATGCACACTTATAGCTTTTATTAGATATCATCATGTCAGTATCAATTATTTGATGATTGACCTTCTACAAGGGAAGTCATGGTTATAGTTCTAGTTCACATTATAAAAAAATAAAAGGGAACATTTAAATCATAACTGTATCTGGTGGGCAAGGATTCTTAATTGTAAAGTCCAATGCAGGTATGCTCAAAAAGAAAATATGAATGCTCAAGTTTTGAGTATGCTAAACCTATAGGTGAGTCTTATGGACATTAATCACAAAGTTAAATACTTGCATTGATTATCAACAAGATAAATATCCTAAAATGCAAGTTCCTATTATGATTTTCCAACAATAAGATCTCTAAACCACCTCAGTTAAGCAAACAAAATAGTGTGTCCACAAGGTGCACCACCTCATTCCCTTTTTGGTTATTCCTAAATTTAATTTTGCTATGGTAGAGCTAAAGAAATAAACAATCAAACTTCCAATCAAAAGCTGATTTTCAGGAGCCAACACTGCAACATCTAGGCAAGCAACAGAATTCTGGACACAGAAAACAAAATGTGCATAAAGGTTAATAAGCTAAGTGTTTAGTTCCTCTATATATACATAACCATTAGCATTAACAAGAAACATTATAATAAGTTAACAAAGCTAACTGCAGAGACATGTTTCAGTCAATAGTAAGCTTGGAAAGAATCTTAATTTTAAATAAACTTGCATTAAGTACATCAGACAAATAAATATTTTACTCACTTGTTCACATCTGGATGGTAATTCCTTGCGAGCTTCCGATAAGCTGACCAGAAAAGATATCATTAGTATTTAATTATCAAACTAATATGCGTTTGGCAACAACAATATATGCAAGTGAAGTTCTGAAAATATAAATTGCGATAATTGATGTTGCTTCAAATAATAAGCAGAAGCAGAAGGTTTGATCCCATAGTGCACGAAGACCAAAATTTTGCTATGAACATTGTCAAAGAAAGAGGGATCAATCTATCAAATGAAATTTCCAGGAAAAGGGTACCGACTTTCAATTTTCAATCAAGACACAACAAGTTTACTAAGCTTAAGTGTTGGTCAAGTTCAGCTTTTCAGAAAAGGAAACCATTTCCAGAAGCTTAATCGTGGACTCTCCTACACAATTCCCTTACACTTCCAAATTAAATCATATATATCAAAAAAGATGTGTCATAGTGTGTGAATTATACCTTCACTCTATGATTGGAAGAGATGTTCACGGAATCATATTTGTATATAAAATTTGATAAATAGATATTCTTTAACAATATATTATAACATCCTTCTGAAAAAAAAGGGAACTCGACATATTTAACCACCTCATGTGAGTTCTGTCTTATTCAGATCCCTTCGAGTATGTTTTGCATTCTTGGGTAGTTTACAGTTATAGCTCATGCCAACGATTATAAATAAATAATAAAACCAAATTATTCAATAAAAAGAATCAAGCTCCTGCTTACTTGAAGCTTTAAAGAGCGTGGCTGCTCTACTCCATGTTTTTTTGAGCCCAATGTACCTTTGGGACCAAACTTGGCCAAAGATCTTTTATTTTATTTTTTTAAAGGGTTTCTCATTTCATAGATCATGGCAAAATAGCAAGCTTGACCAACATCTTCACCTCTATTGTTGACTAAGCAAGAAGGAAAGTTTTTTTATTATTTCGGCTATTTTATTTATCTATTTATTTTATATCTGTAAGGGCTAGCTCACCTTATCAATGCAAAAAATCAATTAAAATAATTAAATCGTATTACAAGGGGGGAAAGGAGAAAGGACAACAAATCAAAAATAGTCAAGGGAACAATAATCAGCAGAAGGCACTTACCACTTTTTATTTCAGATTTGCTGGCATTTTTTGACACGCCAAGGACAGAATAGTAATCCTAAAAACAGTAGCCCCCAGAATATATTTGGTAAGAAAACTTCTTAAAATAAAAAACTTTAGCGCACAATAACAGTCATCTCATCCAACTATAGAAGCAAATCCACGCAAAACTAAGAATACAGGAGTACTCACAGCATTAGCCCTGACAATAAGCCGAGATCCCTTACGACGATGCAAGTTTTGAGATGGTCCATGTTTAAAGAAGGAATATATAGAGACTGGAGCAAAGAAGCTCGCTTTTGAGGATGTCAATCCTTTGTCTCTACTCAACGTACTGTACACAGATTAAGAATATATTAAAGGCTATAATAAATAAACTTCAAATTTGTAAAGGAAAAAACAATTGACAGCAGTTATTTCGTGCCAAGATGTGAACTTTTTGTCCCACATTACCCCGTGTATAAAGTTACAGCTTCATTGAATACAAATTTATGTAAATAATTTTGTTCATCTTGGAGCAGTATGATATTGAAGCTTGAGTTTTGAGCAATAAAGAAAGATAACCAAAAAAGGTCACGCCAGAAACTAGTTTTTGTCAGCTTGTTAACGTAGTTATTTACCTTCTTCAATCTAATGTCATACAGTCATACTTCAACGAAAATAAGGTTTGCAGAGATTACTTTGTGTTACCTGTCCAAGCTATAATGAAAATATACTATGTTCAAATTATGATAAATATCTAGCGGTGTATTTCACTAAAGACCTATACCCTCCAAACTTTTACTACATTGGTCTTTGTTAAGTAATCATTCAGTTATTACGAGCTGACATACACACATTATACATTATAAACAACATTATACATAACTTCAAATACATAACCAAACAAGAAAAGAGATGGTTAACTAGATTGTTTGTCAGTGTATTTCTCACTTAAGTGGGCGCTTATACCTATGTTTTAATTGCTTGGATTGCTAGTCATGTAATTAAATACTAATTAGATTATTAATCAGTTCTAATGCTTTTCATTAATTAACATAATTTCTTCCTATGTGTAATATCTTGATCACTTATAGGAATGAAAATTTATGACATATCGCGAACTTGTATTGGGTACTGGATTTGACGTTTTATTCCATGACAATATTAACTTGTGACATATTGAGTAAGTTGTGTTGCTTAAAAATGATAAAAAATATACAACTTAAATTGACAAAAAACATTAGGAGTGACTAGCAATCCAATTAGTATTTAATTACATGGTCGGTCATCCAAGTAATTAAAACATAGGTAAGACCGTCCAATTAAGATATAAATACAGTGATCAACGACAATTAACACAACAAGAGAGGCATTCTCCACCCAAACTGTACTTCTTAACCCTTCACGCTACCCCTTCTCAAGTTCAATCACTTATAAAGAAAGAGGAGGCTGGCCAGAGGGACAATAATAAAAATTCACACAAAATATATTGACTTGAACATTCCAAATTCTGAACAAAAAAACTGGTCATGACGCAACAAGCCTGTTTTGTACAAGCCAAAAGTAGGATTAAGTGAAATAAGACTCAATTTGGAAGTTAACTTATAACTCAGGGAACCAGGATTGGCACAAGCCCAAGTGTTCGTGCCCGAAACTTCTAAAAGCAACTTTGGAAATGTAAAGCATCAACGATGAAAACTTGTAGAGAAAAGAACACAAAGATCGCAGCCTCTACCACCTCGAAGATCCCTTGGTAGAACCCTAAGCATAGTGATAGTGAAAAGAAGATAGTCCGCAGAAAAGAAAATTGAGAGAATGTGTATTCAAGATACACAAAGCACAATTTTCTGAATTGACATTGTCAAGAAAAAGACAGTGTTGAGTTGGAAAATGCTGAAAGAAAAGGGAAAGTTGGGGAACATGGCTTATTAAGCCTCAGTTTTTTTTTTTAAATCACAACTGCATTTGATTGTATTAATTTATGCCGAAGGTGAATATTTCCGGAGCAATCTTATTGAACATTTTCATCTCAAGCACAGTCAAAGCCTCGAAGGAAATTTTTAGCATTACTCCTTGGTCATACAAGTTTAAACTGAAACAATAAATGGTAGATCTAGTTACTCGAATACAGGACTTCTACCCATGCATATAATAGCAACCGTTGACCATCATAGCAAATACAGATCCAGACTTAATTTGTGCTAGAAGATACCATACTGGTTTAAGAAAAATAGAGATGCCAAAATCATACTAATGACAGTGACGACCAAAAATAGCATGATATGAAGCATTTAATGGCAATCAATCACTCAGCAATTGATGGCAATCAATCAGTCCTAGGATTCAAAAAAAGGAACATAGTAAGCAAAAGATATACAGGACGAAAAGAACATGCAGCAGGAAAAAGAGGTGAACACATTTACGGTAGCAGAAGCAGAAGGTAATAAGCAATGGTCTCATTTTGGAAAAACTCAAGGTACCATTATGGTTTAAGAAAAAATGAGATATTAAAACACATTAATGCTAGCGATGAGTCGATGACAAAATGTATGGCATGATATGAAGCAATTTATGACAGTCAATCAGTCCTGGGATTCAATAAAGGCACATAGCAAGTGAAAGATATAAAGGATGAAAATAACATGAAAACGGGCAAAGAGGTAAACACATATAAAGTATTAGAAACAGGAGCTAATAAATAATGGTCACTACAATTCATATCTTAGGAAATCACAAATAAAAGTGTCATCCAAAACAGGAAGAAACAAAAACTTAACATTTTTCAAAGGAAGAAAAGGACAAGAACAGTGCTTACCCAAAATGGGAGACCTTCGAATTATCTGTGAAACAACACGCTGCTACTTGTCGGGATGGTGATCTAAGCATTAAATGTGGGCTAGTTCCCAGCTGTGGCACACATGTACCGGCCATGAGGTTGGCTTTCAAGTTACCTGCACTAGCAATGATAATTATGATCAGCTGATAGCTCCAGTTTTGTCAAGTAAACTCTAATCAACAACTGACTGCGATGATCTCTGCCAGAATAAAATATGAGAACTTGAACCATGACCACAAACACATATAGTGCTGGGTATACTCGAGAATCTCAACGACACTGAAATTGGGATCTATCTATCATCTTTGATTTTATTACAATGACGTAATGGACGATACAAAAGATTTGAGAACATCTTTCTTAATGATCATTGTTGATGAAGACATATCAAGTTTCATTGGTGATGCCATAAGTCAATCCATTCAGTGTTCCCATTCAAGATGAAGATTGTAGCGCAAGGATTAACTCTTTCACCAAGTATCCAACATATTACGTTAACTCAAATGAAGATGGAGTCTGCTTCTTTCAAGGGACGATTTTGACAATATATAAGTAGAGTCTTCAAAGTCACTCTTCAATTAACAGTCAAGTAGTGGGGTGCCTGTTCAATGTTATATTTTTAGCAGCAACATGTACCTTTGTCTAAAATCAGATCTTAAACCTAAGAATTTTGAGTTTATCTCCTTTAGCTTTGTGATATTTGCTAAGTGAACTAATTGGATATTGTAAACTGCCCTTCGGCCTATTGGTGGACTTTTAATTAATATGTCAAGTGTCACTCACAAGTTCACATGTACTCCTATTCTTATTTGCCTCCAGCATCTATCAATGGGCTTCAAATTTATGAAGCACAATGAACAATTAATACAAAAAATAATTAATCCTAATCACACTAAACATTGCGTAGGAGTTCATCCTGGTTCATATGTTACTAAAAACAAAGTGGACAATATTCAGCCTATTATTCCTCAAAATCGTTCAAAATTTTCCGTTGCAAGCTCAAATTGAAGAGATCTGCTAGAGTTAAGGACCCTAAACAAGCTAACGTTCAAAATTTTCCGTTGCAAGCTCAAATTGAAGAGATCTGCTAGAGTTAAGGACCCTAAACAAGCTAACTGAACCCATATTAAATTGAAGAGATCTGCTAGAGTTAAGGACCCTAAACAAGCTAACTGAACCCATATTAACAGACTAGAACACGGCCATCCTCACCCTCCATTTGTCCATTTCACACACAATGGCAGTGTCGCAACCTAGCGACAAACCAACTAGTTAAAACCTCCGAATAATGACAGAAAAAAGGTAATAAAAACAACAGACTGTGTAAGTCTCAAATCTATGTAATAGTCCTACGTAACAAAGGTCACCATCTTTCAGATAAACCTCCAATCCATTGGACAAATAAGGTCAAATTTTATAAGTTAGATGAGCTCAATACTTATATAAGTCACCTCTTTTGTGTCATTCATAGTACTCTTTCAATTCTTTGTTATCCCCTTAAAGCTTCACTCCTCTCTTAATAATAAATTCCAGGACACTTACATCTAGCACTTAAAGTCGACAAATTGACATCAAATAATGCCGAATAAAGCATCGACAACAATAGGAGGCCATTTTATACCCATAATCCCGTCTTTTTTTTTTTGAAATTGGGTCTCGTTCAAATTACAACAAACTACTCCATTAACAACAATCTTTCCATATGGGACTAAAATGGGTAATCAAACAGATACAAGATGCAAATCCAAAAACAACCCACCATCATAAATTCCCCTCACATAATGATTACATGAAAATATCAACAACAAAAAAAGTCAAACACCCAGATTAATTAATCTCATACAAAACATGAATAAATAATAAGGAGTGAGGAAAGAGATGTAAGGGTTTGGTACCTTGAACACTAATTCTTTTTGTGGGTTATCGAGAGAGAGAGAGAGAGAGAGAAGCTGGGATTCTAGAGAGAGAGAGAGAGTGGAGGGAATTTCCTCTGAGCGAAGCAAAGAGAGAAGAATCCTGGCTCTGCTGAGTCCTCTCAGCCGCTGGCCGCCTCCCTTATGCAGGGCAACTTTCCTACCTTATCGACTCTATTGAACGCAACACTTCTACCTTATCGACTCTCGTCGATAGAGCGATAAGCCCTCAAAGTTGCCCTGAACGTTTTCTGCCCTCTTTTGTTTTCTTTTTATTGGTCACCAAAAGTTTTGAGCCCGAATGTCACAATAAACATTTTTTAGCCGAAAAAGTGACGTATTAGGTTGGAGTTTTTGCCCTTTTTTTAACCCTCCTGTTTCCTTTTTTTTTTTAAATACTAGTTAAGATGCACGTGCAATGCATATGGTTGAATATCATGAGTTGTGATGCACGTGCAATGCACGTGGTTGAATATCATGATTATCTGAATTAATAAAAATAGAGTAAAAATAAAAAAATAAAGTTTTTTGTGGGATTGATCATCAACTCAATAATTTATCTCTCAAATAAAATATTATCATTGTTTCATTCAACCCAGACTGTGGCTACGTGATCTACTATTTATGAGTTATAAATACATTAATTTCGTACAATATTTCTATTTATTAGTATCTTGAAGTCTTTAAAAGATGGATGGTCATTCAATTCACAAAAGAATTTTGCATATGAATTTACTTGTAATATGTCCATTAAACTTTTAGTTGTGAGTTGACTCATATTCATGTTAACTTTTAGTTGATGTTTTGCTCATATTTATATCATCTAATATTTTCATTCAATTTTATAGCTCATATATTCTCTGTATCATAGAAATAAAACTTAAAGTATGAAAAATTATTTTTTTACGAAATTAGAACAGGAAGCATATGAATATACCCCCCCCCCCCCTCCCCTCGCTTCACTTTCCAATAGCAGTCGATCCCCATGGAGCCCAAAGAGGCAATTCTCAAGTCTCAACACCCCCAAATTGATCTAAAAAATCTAGAAAATACTTGCTCTTAATCTCTCTAGGTTGCATAAACGCACCCTCTCGCTCTTATTTTGGCATCATGTACCTCTCTCGTTCTTATTTTGTTGCATCACGACGAGGCAAGATCAACTCTCACGCGAAAGAGAAAAGACCACTATAGTAGAAGAATTTAGGTAAATTTGATAGTTTATACATTAATTTTTCTGATTTATAAAGAAACTGAGCCTGCGGTTGGGAGATTCATAATAATAATTTTATATTTTTTAAATTCTTGTCGATAGGTTGTCGAAGATGTCTAGTTGAAGTAAATCGAGGGGTTCTTCCCAATCGAAGACTAAGGCTACTTTGCAATTAAATTTTATTAATTTATCTGAATTTATTGTCATTACATTTGAATGCTTAGTTCCCTTGTGAAAGATAGGCTTGTCGCGCGCCTATGCGGAAGCGTTGCACGCACACACAACGAACTTGAGATCACGAAAGAAGAAAGCCACACACTTGCACAAACCAAGCCAATTACGACAAATCAAACCAAACACGGAGATATACGTGGTTCGGCAATTGCCTACGTCCACGGGGAGAGGATGGGGAGATTTCACTATATGGAGGAGAAATACAACGGGTTACAACTCACAAAATCACTCAAATATAACCCTAACCAAAGCTCTCAACTCCCTCACAATATCTCCCTCTCAAAGTGCTCAAAACAATGCTAAATCTCTTCTTTTCTCTCCTTTAGAAACCCTAAAAAACGTGGTCCTATTTATAATAAAACACAATCCCAAACAAAGGAGGATTCCTATACAAAGGAGGATTCTAAAAACGAGTCTGCCACACCCTGCACCATGGGTGTGGCAGAGGGTGTGGTGCAGGACAGATTCTACCACACCCATGGCAGACACCACACCAGGGTGTGGTGGAGTCTGTTTTGGGTTATTCTTCACGTTTTTCACAATTCCTTCGCCGTTTTCATAATTCTCCACCTCGGCGAAGTGTTCCCATGTGACGCCCCCTGTTTTCACACATGGCTGCAGTCCAAGGTGAACCCAGAGATGTCAAACCTGCCATGCACCCATACTGTGCAATAACATGTTTCACCAATCACAGTAATATTCTCTAGTGAAATCAATTATGAGTGAAGGTACAAAACAGGCAAAATAAGGAAAAGTAAATAAAATAGACATGATGTAGAAAGATATATCTCATAAATGATATCATGTCTGAACTGAAATAAACTAAAATACATCTAGAGTCTGAAATAATGTAAAATGTCTCAACACGAGTCAACTGAAAATCGTACAAAGGCACCTAGCCTTTACAAATGGAATACAACTCTAATGTCTGAACAGTGAAAATAAATCTTCGGTGGAGTCTCAACTAATAAATCATGCGACGACGACTATGCCAGAAACTCCGTCATCCTGCGGCTCTCCGGAACTCTGAGCTGCCTGAAAGGAAAATTTAAAAGAAAAAGAACAACAACAAGAGTGTCAGAGCGCTACAGCAAGTTCACCTCCATCCGCTCCCAGGGGAAGGGCTGCTAGATGATGAAGTAGAGGCTCTATCTATTAAGCATAGTCTACCTAGATCATTTTCCCTGTATCTAATGGAATTAATATTTAGAAACTTACAACTTGAGACGTAGTACGTCGAGCGAAATAATCCAAACAAGGAAACCCTCATGTATATACCGTATGTCTCAGGTAGTAAATAACTAAATATTAACTCTGAACTAAGCAATCAAAATATAACTGGAAAGTAAAGCATCATAATAGACATCAACATATGTATCTCGTGTACTCGTATAACAAAGTATCTCAACAATAAGTAGAAATACTTTTGGCATCCGCCAAATACTCAGGTAAATAGTTTATAATATTATCATTCTGAACTTCTTCCAACTCATCGCATCATCGCGCGGATCGACAAATAGATATCATCGCATCATAGCGGATCGACAAATAGGTATCATCGCATCATAGTGCGGATCGATAAATAGGTATCATCGCATCACCGTACGGATCGACAAATATGTATCATCGAATCATAGTGCGGATCGACAAATAGGTATCATCGCATCATCATGCGGATCGACAAATAGGTATCATCACATCATAGTGCGGATCGACAAATAGGTATCATCGCATCACCGTGCGGATCGACAAATAGGTATCATCACAGTCTCATTTGCAGTGTACTAACTCACAAGTAAATAGATCTCAATTCGTCATAATCCCCGTGGGATATTCAAATGCGTATTTCGTCATATTCATGACTGTAAGTATAACATCGAGCGGCTCAAACTCCGCGATCGAGTTACAAAACGGCGCAAACAAACTCCAGAAAATAAAACTGGGCGAAACTGTCCAGTAAATGGTCATGGTTACCAACCCCGACTATCTGCTGTATTAACAAATTGTGAATAGTAGCAGTACTTACTAATAGCAACAGTACTTTACGACTAGTATCCGTACTCATGAATAGTAACAGTACATATGAATAGTACCGTATGCATGAATAGTAACAGTATGTATAAATAGTACCCATACGTATGAATAGTGTCAGTACTTATGAATAGTGTCGTATGTATGAACAATAACAGTACGTATGAATAGTACAACAGTATGTATGAATAGTAACGGTATTTATGAATAGTACCGTACATATGAATAGTAACGTTATTTATGAATAGTGTCATACATATGAATAGTAAGGTATTTATGAATAGTACCACAGTATGTATGAATAGTACCGTACATATGAATAGTAACGGTATTTATGAATAGTACCGTATGTATGAATAGTATTATATGTATAAAATAGTAACAGTATTTCCAGCGGTAGACATGTACGTATAGTTCTAGCTAGCAATATCATGTCTTTAGGAATTTAGTCTTATATTTTATTCATCAATTTTCATCAATATCAAGTCTTTTCTTCAATATCATGTATATTCATCAATTTTTATCAATATCATGTCTTTTCATCAATATCATGTATATTCATCAATATCATGTATATTCATCAATTTTTATTAATATCATATCTTTTCATCAATATCATGTATATTCATCAATATCATGTATATTCATCAATATCAAAATTTACTGGGGATGAGTTTGGAAAGAGATGAACTTGCCTTTATTGATCTCTGAAATTAGATTTCCTATCTGTTCCTTTTCTCCGAATAGCCAAAATCCCCTCTATCTTTTACTACCTTTTCTTCCTCTCTGTCTTTTTTCTCTCTCTCTCTCTCTCTCCTTCTTTCTCTCTCCCTCTCTTTCTCTCTCCCTCTCTCCCCCTTCTCTTTCTCTCTCTTTTTTCTCTTCTCTACGTGCTCAGAAGAGAGAGGGGGAGAGGCTTTTATAGGAGGGGGATAGGTGGGGGTAGGGGGAGAGAAGAAAAGAAAAGGAATAAAATAAATAATAATATTTATAATTTTAAACTATTTAAAAGTTGAGTTTCAAATCTCTATTCTCAGAAAGTAATAAAATTTTACCCACAAGACCGTCTCAACATTCTACGATCAAAGGTGTAATCCCCATATTTATCTGATCAACATAAAAATTATTAAAAATACAAATACGACAGATGCTAACGGACTTGATACCGTCTCAAAATAGTATTTCAGTCTCCGTTGTCAAAACGTAACGAAAATTTAATCACAACACGGTCTTAACATTTTAAAATCAATGGCGCAAATTTCGTGCCAATCTGATTAATAGAAAAATTACTAAAAATAAAATAGTATTAGTTTTCAGTAGACTCGCGATACCGAGGCTGAAACTGCGAATCGATCTCAAATCGATTCCAATCTAATCCATTCATCCCAGAATGATCACAAATCATAATAAAACTCATTTATTATCATTTATAATAATATTTTTAAAATTTTTGGGGTTTTACATCCCAACACTGAGCCGACACCAACATGAGCACCACTGTGTCGTCTCTCAAAACTCGGCTACACCAATGTGGTTGCCTACGTACTCCCTCTCCCAAGGAATCAAGCCGCCCGTAGTTCATCCAAATGGCCGTCAACGGCCTCAACAATCACGAATGTGTAACAAGTTTTTGTGAGCATATCTGCCGGATTATCCTTTGTG